GTAGATAACCAACTTTCCCGGAAAGTAGATATTTCCCATTTTTATGATACAAATTTCGTTTTCTATGATAATCTATATTCGGGAAAGTTGGTTATCTAACCAACTTTCCCGGAAAGTAGATATTTCCCATTTTTTGATACAAATTTCCCGTTTTCTATGATAATCTATTTTCGGGAAGTAGATATTTCCATTTTTTTGATACAAATTTCCGTTTTCTATGATAATCTATTTCGGGAAAGTTGGTTATCTAACCAACTTTCCCGGAAAGTAGATATTTCCCATTTTATGATACAAATTTCCGTTTTCTATGATAATCTATTTTCGGCAAATTTGTGATCTAACCAACTTCCCGGAAAGTAGATATTTCCCATTTTTGTGATACAAATTTCCGTTTTCTATGATAATCTACTTGCAAAATTAGGTAATATTTCAAAATTCGAAATCTACTTCCCGAAAGTCGATAATCTATTTTGCCGAAAAGTGAATCTATCTACTTTTCAGGGAAGTAGATAACTAAGAAAATCTATCTACTTCGGGAAAGATAACCAACTTTCCGGAAAAAAGCAGATATTTCCCATTTTTATGATACAAATTTCCTGTTTTCTATGATAACTACTTCCAAAAGGGTAATATTTCAAATTCGAAAATCTACTTCCCGAAAAGTCGATAATACTACTTCCTTAAAAAGAACCGACCATCCTCGGATAACCAACTATAGATATTTCCCATTTTCTATGATACAAATTTCCCGTTTTCTATGATAATCTACTTCGCAAAATTAAGTAATATTTCACAAAAAATCGATAATTTACTTCCCCGAAAAGTCGATAATCTACTTTACCGAAAAGTAGAAAAATCTACTTTTCGGGAAAGTAGATAACCAACTTTCCCGGAAAGTAGATATTTCCCATTTTCTATGATACAAATTTCCCGTTTTCTATGATAATCTACTTCGCAAAATTAAGTAATATTTCAAAAAAAATCGATATTCTACTTCCCCGAAGAGTCGATAATCTACTTTACCGAAAAGTAGAAAAATCTACTTATCGGGAAAGTAGATAACCAACTTTCCCGGAAAGTAGATATTTCCCATTTTCTATGATACAAATTTCCCGTTTTCTATGATAATCTACTTCTCAAAATTAGGTAATATTTCACAAAAAATCGATATTCTACTTCCCCGAAAAGTCGATAATCTATTTTACCGAAAAGTAGAAAATCTATCTACTTTTCGGGAAAGTAGATAACCAACTTTCCCGGAAAGTAGATATTTCCCATTTTTTATGATACAAATTTCCCGTTTTCTATGATAATCTACTTCGGAAAATTAGGTAATATTTCCCCCAAAATTCGAAAATCTACTTCCCCCAAAAGTCGATAATCTACTTTCCCGAAAAGTCGATAATCTATGTATAATTTTCTTTGTAACCTTTTGTATATATTGTTTATTTATATGTTTTTGTCTTGTATTTTCCCCTTATTCATATTTTTTTTTATTTTGTATCTTTTGTAATTATTGTATCTTTTTCAATATTTATTTTTACTTATTTTCTTTTTGTATACATAATTCTTCTTCTCATTACGGAATATTACTCTTGTTAATTCCTCCTTTTTCATGTTATTCTTTTTACTTTATTTTTGTTAGTTTTCAATTTATATATATATATTTTTACGTTCAATTCGTATGTCATTTTTTTTCATGTTACTTTTACTTTCCATTCAGCATCTTCCACAGGTTCAGTCATCCCTGGTCACTGTGAAGCACCTAAAACAACAACAACAGCAACAATAACAAAAAGACTACCTTCGTTGTCAGTAACAAAAGCAAAGACAAATTACAACATATTTTAGGGAAGTCGTTTATTTATTTATTATGACATTTGGAATCGGTATCATTTTCTTTCTATCTTATTTCTCTTATGAGTGTAATCCATTCTTCCTTATCCGTATCTTTCTTCTTTCTCCCATTTAATATTTCACCTGACCTACCTTAATTTAACCTAACCTGTTCCCGAGCCGCCAAGTTGAGGACATCTGCTGTAAGGCGCCACACCATCTGTTATCCTCCTTCATAGAAAAAACAGTAATCGTGCTTCACCTGTGGATACATCATCACTATAAGGTGTGCACGTGGCTACCAAGATCAACACACACACGCACATATACACACATACATAACAGACACACACTCACATACACACGACGCTCGTTTGACCCATTCCAGTAAGCTTGTTATAGGTAACTGCAATAATTCCCTCTATCTCCCCACTTTCTTCTTTACCATTGATTGTTGAGGGAGGGGGAGGGGGTGGAGGGAGGGGGGGTGGAGGGGAGGAAGGGGAATCAGAGTCGATCAAGAAGGTATTTTGATTCCGTCTCTGCCTTTGAACTCCTACACGAGTCCCTCATACATCTGCCTGATCATGAGGTAAGATATTCGTCCTTGATGAAGGTCAGGAAATGGTGAACAGGAAGCGTGTGTATGTCTACTTGCACTCTGGCCACGGTCAAGTATGCCAAAAGCTAACCTGAACCTGACTTAACCTAACTCACCGAGGGAATCTAACCTAAACTAACCTAACCTAAGCATCAGGAACCACTTAAGTTCCGGAGAAATAAGTGTAATGTTTTTATTACCTTCTGCTCGGCCTTCAGGCGGTGTGGCTGCTGTGTGTTTAAGGAGGTTTAAGTCAAGATAATAAGATAATCCTCCTTGTTATCTTTATTCATCTCAGACTGTATCAGTAATGTCCTATTTGACCATAAAAATAGATAAATAACTATAACATACTAAACAGACATTTGATATAAAACAATAGACGTTATCATTACTTATACAATGTACACAGTAGCATAACCAACCTCTGTATAAGGTTCATATAGTTACTTATAATATCAGTCGTAATGTCTAAGAATTCAATTACTTTGCACTCATAAATATTTTTTGGGTCGCCTCCACCGAAAAGAACTTTACAAGAGATTCTATGTTCAGGAGAGACGAGTAAGTTACAATATTTACAACATATCACAGAGAGAGGCAGTGTTAGGCGGAGGCGTGTGCATGACTCAACACCGCGCCCTGAGGATAAAGTCCGAGGCCCCTCGACAGACACACTCTCACACCGACCTCTTCTTGATCGTCCGTTTAAGGGAACCGAACTTGTCACAGATGTTGGCAGTAGCTCGAGGCAGATCTGGCAATGAGCCCTTAGAGAGGAAGTTCCCCAGTGCCCTTCCTACGCCAAAGACGGAGAACTTTCTCTGACGACCACTCGTAGGGGAAGGACAATCATCGTCAACTGTCCCGGCCTCCAGAGGATCCAATGGAAATCTCTTTGGTGAGCGCGGGGTCCTCCACGCCCCAGACAGAGAGAGAGAGGACGACTGGGTTTGGTTTTCCTCCAGAATGCTTGGTTGAGTATTGTTAAAGTCCTTTTTGGATAATCTTGCTCCAGAAAATTTTGATGACCATTTATCTTGTTGAAGTGAAGCTCCAACACCAGCTTCTGGTTTATGATGTTCGTCTTTACTGCACAGTTTAGTCTCGGGTTTCTTAATGTTGACTATCTCTACCTTACCGCTGCTCTTGAAGGATCTGGTGCGAGTCCGACAAGAACATTCAGGATTTGTCTCGGATCTTTTACTATCCAGGATAAACGACCTCCCTCTTGAGAGCAGCGAAAGACTGGACTCTTGTCCCTTCAGAGAGGCGAAAAATTTCTCCCTCTTAGATTCTTTTACAGGATCAGTCTTTGGCTTAGGAGGAGAGTCTTCGTCACAGGACCGACTCTCACTCCAAGCTTCAGGAGAACTTAAAGACCTTGACAGAGGCGCGTGTACAGGAGCTGCTGACTCGGAAGATTTCAATATGGTCTCCTTTTCAGTTTCCTGTTTAACTTGTCTCGGCGAGTGTTGGCCAGTGTTGTCTGCCACAGTCCTCGACGCTGAGGGAGTTGATGACTGTCTTTGTGGTTTGTCCTTAACTTTAGATATATTTTGGGAGCCGTGTAGTGGTGAGCTGTTTGATCGAACAGCCAACTTTTTAATGTTACCGCGACTAACTCTTTTATTTGTTCTCTCGCTGTCTTGCCTCTTGACTACACTGGTCTCTCCACTAACACTCTGATGAAGAATTTTTCCGTTTCCTTCAGATACACTACGTGAAGGTGGACTCATATTTCTACCTTTGGAAGCGCTTTTGCTGTGAGGGCTTCCTGGGCAGCCACAGCGCCTACAGGAGTAACTGCCCACGAAGAAGGTGTGTTGGCAGGAGGAGGAGCACACGGCAGGCTCAAGTAGGAGGGATGGGAAGCGTGGACAGAGACAGCTGGTGGTTCTGGCCCTCCTGATGAGAGAGCTGAAGATAGGGACGATATCCTCGCTCGTCTCCGCCACAGACACCTCGGCGAAGGCACAGCCGAAGACACTCGAGGTAGTTTGCCCCTCCTCCGGTGTGACCTACGGGGGGAGGTAAGTTTAGTGGCACTAGTACTTATAGGTGTAATCAGTGGCACCAGTAATCACAGGTGTGGTTAGTGGCACCGACATTCAAAAGTATGACCTATGACCCTAATAACCACAGCATGGAAGAGTCGACGTAACATATGAGTAAAAATTAGTTAATAAAATCATATCGAATCTATTTATGTATATATATATCATCTCTCCTTCGCTCTCATTAACGTACGGGAAGGATGAAGGGGAAAGAGGAACATCAGGCAAGGGAGGAAATGATAATGGAGAGAACACAACACAACAAAGAACAAACGTCAAAGTAATAGTGGAACAAATTGATGAGCGAAGTCAATAAAGACGCTTGGATATTCACTGTTGTAGTATTAAGCCGTTTACCGAGAGAGGGAGAGTTGGGAAGGAAAGAGAGAGTGGGGAGGAAACAGGGAGAGGGGTGAGAGAGAGAGGAGGAAGGGAAACAGGCAGAGGGAGAGGGGTGAGAGGGAAAGAGAGAGGTAGAAGGGAAAGGAGTGTCTTACCAGCTAGAGGAAGAGGGAGGGAGGGAGGGAGAGAGAAACGGAGAGGGGAAGAGGGAGAGGTGGGAGGGAGGGAAAAGGAGTATCTTACCGGCTCCTGTCAACATCAGCCCGCTAGGTAAAGGTCGCAGGCTCTAAGCTACATTGAGAAAATCCCGTGTATGCTATTTTATTGGTCGGCTTTAAAGAGCGCTGATAACGACAGGTTTTGAAGATTGAGGGAAAAATTCGTTGAACATGTCCTCTCTCTCTCTCTCTCTCTCTCTCTCTCTCTCTCTCTCTCTCTCTCTCTTATGGTGTAACCGAAAATTTAGTCACTAAATGTAATTAGGCGTCAAAAAAGGTCACTAGGTCACTTCAAAGCTATTTTAGGTCAGTAACGTGTGATGACCGCCCCCCCTCCTTATGTATTTACTAACTACCAACGTAGTGACAACAACGAAGGTCAACTGTAGGCTCAATGGCCACAATCATCCTCGGCTAGAAGGTCAGCCAATCATGTTACGTAATGCATGTGACGTCATAATTGTGATGCATGGTTCATTACATATTTGGGCCAATCACTGTTAACGAGAGTGTGTGTGTGTGTGTGTGTGTGTGATCGAGTCTCCTTGCGTGTGAGTGTAATTGTAAAACAGAGAGAGAGAGAGTTTTAACCAAACTCTACGGCACACACACGCCACATTTCAATATCAACATTCTGAAGACAACGAATCACACATAGCATAACCACATCCTATAATGAGATCAAACTCTGCTATTAGGTTCCTGTGTCAAATACATTTACGCCCATTAATAGCCAAGTCCAATGATAATACATTAAGTGAAATAGTAATCTAGTTAAGTGTATGAGTATTAAGTCCAAGAGTGTCCTAGTTTAATGTTATTTAAGTCCTAATTATTCTTAAAAAGTCCAGAGCCTTGTTATTTCTACCCATTGTTAAGTCAATCGTCATTCCACCTCCTCCCTTTTTTCTTCCCCTCACAACAACCTGAGACTTCCCTCATCTTTCCACCTACTTCTCCATCTCCCCTCACACTATTCCCACCCTCACTTACACACACAACAGGCGCCGCTACTCACACCATCAACGCGAGGCAGCTCTTCCCAACCATTTAGCATGGCGATGATAGGCGAGGCTCTACAGGCAGTTGATGAGTCACTCACTCACTCACTCACTCACTGCCTCCTCGTTCAATCATTCCGCACCGCTGCACCAGTCAAAGAGTCCTGGTTTTGCATGGCGGTATTGGCGGAGGAGCTCGGTCGACTGCCTCCTGGGTGAAGATAATGACGGCCCTGCTAGCTGACACCTCCCTGTCAGTAGAGTCTTCACAATCTCACACATCGTCTCCGCTATCAGGGGTAGAGGTGAGGGAGGAGGGGGTAGAGGTGAGGGAGGAGGGGGTAGAGGTGAGGGAGGAGGGGGTAGAGGTGAGGGAGGAGGGGTAGGAGGGAGGAGGAGGGAGAGGGGTAGAGGTGAGGGAGGAGGGGTTAGAAGGAGGAGAGAAGGGGGGAGGGGTGAGTGAGGAGGAGGGGGTAGAAGTGAGGGAGAAGGGGGTAGAGGTGAGATGTAAAAAGATGTCAGGGCGAAAGGGAGTGATCACCGTGGGTAATGTTGGAAGTAATGGATGCTTGCTTGTTGCCGTGTGCTGGTTTTTTTTCCGGGCGGCGGGCGTTTAGTGGCTGGTGCTGCGGTGTTCGGCGGGCAGATGAACTATTACTACGCTACGGTGCCTGATTAATGCCTTCAAACCATCAGAGGTGAAGTGAGGGCTGGCGACTTGACAGTAAACACAGGAGGAATGTGTTGTATATGCCTTTGACCGCTGCTTACATGCGAAGACCATAGTGTGTGTGTGTGTGTTATAATAATACCTGGATCACACACACACACACACACACACACACACACACACACACACACACACACACACACACACACACGGTGTTTATATCTCGATCGAACCATTCCCATTTACTACTGACTCCACAAACGTTTAATCTCACAGTAATAGGTTCCTGGTGGCCATAAAGAGCCACGATGGTAAGAGCGATTGGGAGTGGAAGACTGATGCAAGAATCATGGGTGGGTGAGTAAATAACAGGTGATGGCAACAGACGCGGGTGAGGAGTGGTGGGGGGGGGGTGTAGTTATCGTGGTGTTATGGCTGTTGCGTAATGGAGCAGACAGAGAAAGAGAGAGGCGGGCTTGTTTGGAATCTATCGAGCAAATGATTTTAGCTATAAAATTTTAGTTATTACGTCACACCTTCACTGGTTGTTCCGCTGGGAAGTTCGTCAACCCCCAGAGAGTCTTCAGTGATTCAAAATTAAGCAAAAGTTTGTATAACTCTCTCTCTCTGTGTCTGTTTGTCTCTCTCTTTCAAAGGTTCTGATAATAAAGACATCACACACACACACACACACACACACACACACACACACACACACACACACACACACACACACACACACACGAAAGCGTTTCAATTATGCAATATGTTAAGAAATTATAATACAAGTGGTCCATAATAGGTGCCAATTAAACACTTTATAAAAAATTACAACAGTCAACGAAAAAATAACTATAAAAGACAATGGTGTGAAAAATTCTTTATAGGTCACAGGAACACATGATAATTAATAGATAATTTTTGTCAATCATTATAATTTGCTAATGGGAGGAAAATAATCACCAATTATACGTTCTTCCCAAGTGTAGTGACGTCATAATTATGTCAACAACAAACACAATTACGCTATCGAACTGCTTTCATTCTCACGTCACAGTATAGTGGGTGTGTGTGGAGGTACCTGTTAAATTTATCAATATAAAGTATTATTCAATAGTCAAAAAAACTAAATCAATAATTACTACCTGTCGCGAATGCTCTAGATCTTGTTTGTTTCCCAGTAAGGTAATTGGTGGACGAGGCAGGTGTGGACGGAGCTTGAAGATAGCATGAAGTAGCTGATTAGCCGTGAGGAAGGTGTGTCTCTCGGCCACACTGTACACCACCAGGTAACAGTCACATTGACATATCTCCAACGTCGGCAGCGTATTATCGCCCTGTGGGGATACCGATGTGTTACTATGTCTCATGATATTGGAACCAACCCTCTGGGGGATACATATGTGTACTACTGTATGTATCTTCACTATTTCTACAGGTACTCGCTGGAAGTATGTGTGTGTATTATGTGTAGTTTATATTGTTAGGAGCTGAGGACACATTATAATAAGTCACGACCCATAGTAATGTTAACGTGTTTTTGTATGTATATTAATTAGTGAATATAAATACTAGATTATAGAGTAATAATCCCTAATAGATTTAATAACTCATATAGAAGCAATATTAACTTGGTATATAAACAATGGTGAGTTATAAAGACTTAAAGCTATGAAAAGATCACTAACTGGACGGAAAACACAACGACGTAAACCAAAGCTGAGGAGAATGACGTAATGAGAAGATGAGGAGAATGACGTAATGAGAAGATGAGGAGAATGACGTAATGAGAAGATGAGGAGAATGACGTAATGAGAAGATGAGGAGAATGACGTCATGAGAAGATGAGAAGAATGACGTATAAATGTGGTTTAATAATACATATAAACAAAGGGACATGAAGAGAGATCAAAGGATAAGTAGAACACACACACACACACACACACACACACACACACACACACACACACACACACACACACACACACACACACCCACCCACCCACACACACCCACACACACACCCCCACCCACCCACACCCACACACACACCCACCCACACCCACACAATTTTCTTACCGGCCTGGAGGAGATGTCGATAATCTCAAGGTCGACCTTCATCCCATCTACCTGGAGAGACTGTCGGTAGATGATGT